TTGGAGATTGTACGGAGAACTCTGTCCCCTTCGCTGAGGAGGCAGATTCTATCGTTTCCGGCGGTATTTGCTGACAATGCAGCGGCTTTGTTGGCAATGGCTGCGTAGATGCGGTACCGGAAAGGGAGAGTGCCGGCTTCGACACAGCTGGCATCGGCTGATGTCGAGGGTAGGAGACCATGCGCGTGTAGCTATTGTACACCGGAGCGAGTATTTGTATTGCCTTGTCGGTAGCGATGCAGGTCCGCTTGAGTCCATACATCAGCCGGCTGTTTACGATGGCCCGGGCAACACGGAAACGTACTTCTCTGTCGTTGGACCGGTGGGGACGGGAAATTGTGCAAATGAGGTTCATCCTGCTGCGACAGCTAGCCTTGACCCCTTGAAGGTGCTGGTCAAAACTCAGCGACCGGTCAGTGACAACTCACAGTTTTCTTCAATGGGATAGCTTGATTACCGATCTTTATGGAAGGTCCGCAGACCCGATGTCGGTAGTGGAAAACGTGGCACCTAGCGCTCTTTCCAGCAGACAGCTGCAAACCTTTCGAAGCGGCCCATCTGACTACGGTGGAAACCCCTGCTTGGACTCTAATCCTCGTTCGTCCCGGAGTTTGACCTGTGGCTACGATTAGCACGTCGTCTGCGTACACGAAAATGTAGATGTTCGCTGGTAATCGCTCGAAGACACTGTTCATGGCTACCAGGAACCAAGTGACAGCGATCACTGAACCTTGGGGAACGCCAGTTTCCTCGCAAAAAGTGCGGGATTTGGTATTACCTACCGAGACTCGGAAGGATCTGCCAGTCAGCCCCAGCTGACGAGTTGCTTCAGCACCGCGGGCGTCCATGTACGGTTGAAAGCTTTCGCAATGTCCAGGGACCATTATCCTTGGCATCCTTGAGGAGCTCTCCTAGCGTCGCAAAAAACGTGGATGTACCGTGGCCTTGCCGGAATGCGTGTTGGCGATGGTCTAGAAAGCCGCCAGACTCAAGAAACTGCTTCAGGCGTCGGTTGACCATCCGCTCGAACACCTTTGCCATGCAGCAGGGGAGCGCAATGGGTCGGAACTTCGCCACGTCCCGTGTCGGCTTGTTTGCTTTGGGGATGGGGGCAACCAAGCTCTCCCTCCAATGCTCTGGATACGAGTCTGTCTGCCAAAGCTGATTGAAGAGTTCCAGAATTTTTACTTTACCGGGGTAGGCAGGTTCTTGAGCAGCGGGTAGCCGATCTCGTCTGGGCCGGCTGATTTCCCGTTGCTTCTACTAAGCGCGAACTGAAGCTCCTGCCAGGTGAAATCGTGGTTGATCCTCAGGTTGTTCGTGTCCGGAGAAACTCGAAAACTGCTTATCGACGAAGTCGATGGGTTTTCTAGCCGTTGAAAGGTCGCCTCGTGCTTGGAAATCGCAGAGAGGTCAGCGAAATAGTCGCCAAGCTTATCTGCAACGATTGCGGGGTCGGAGACTGCAGCGCCATCTAAGTTTTATCAAGGTTTTAAAGCGTTCTACAAGTCCAATTCATGGTCTACAGAACCCTCATAAAACCAAAATTGATACTTGAGCAGTGTGGCCGTACGGCGCTTGCCACTGAGGGCGTTGACCTTACCCCAGAGCTCCGCCGAAGACTGTGAGGCATTTATGCTTTTGAAGAAGTCCGGCCAACTGGATCGTTTGGCATCTCGGACCAATTGGCGAAACTGGTTGTGCTGTTCTCGATAGATACAGAGCGCGTTTTCCCTATCCGGATCATCTATGGGAAGCCGTTTGACTCGTCGAAGGGCTTTTCGCCGGGCCTTGACTGCCTTCTTCGTTTCCTCGTTCCACGTTGTTGAAGGATCGACTGGAAGGTTTCACCGTAACTCTCCCAATCGGCTTCGTCATAGCGCCACCGAGGTATCCGCGTTGCTGCCGGTATAGCGGCAGCAAAGAGTTGCACCTGAACCGGGTAATAATCGCTACCGTAGAGGTCCGAATTGACGCTCTATTGCATTCTTCCAGCGAGGGAACGACTAACAGCAGTTACATCGATCGCCTTGGTGTGCCGTCCATTGGAAAAGGTCGGCGATCCGTCATTAAGGATGATCATATCCTCCCTTTCGAACTTGTCTACCAGTGTGGAACCCCTCGAGTCGAACCGAGGCACCCCCAGCTAGAGTGGTGCGCGTTCAAGTCACCCAAAAACATTCGCGGTTCAGGTAGGTTATCAAAGATGCTGTCGATTTGACCGTTGAGGTTTGCTAATCTCCCACAAGGCAGGTATGCGCATGCTATTGCGATGTTGGCTGGTTCCTCCAAGCAAACTCCCAAAATGGGAAGCTCTGAGTCATGGTCGATAAACCGAAACGGGACCTCCTTCAGAACCCCGATGGCGACGGAATGTCGGAAATTGTTCCCACGTTTAACTGTTCAGCAGTATCTACCGCCCAACGAACGGTTCATCTGCTCAACTGTTACTTTGTTGACTTCCTGGAGTGCTATCATCCAGGGAGAATTGACTTGACATAGCAGCTCCAAATCCGCTAGATTATGCAAGAAACCGGATGTTAGATTGCAACAGGAACTTTATCGGCTTTGTCAAGGCCGGTAGGGGATACGAGCTGTACGAACCAGGGAACCCAGTTTCATCACGGTGATGGCTGCTGCTTTGGTCGTCGGGTAGGCTTATTATTATTTAGCTTTATTAAGGAGGCTTTCAGCCTTGGGCTGGTTCGCCTCCAATATCGAACATACTCGATGCATCGTCGTGCTGCGAAACGGACGAAAGGTCGATTTCGAATGCCGAATGAGACAGAGCCCCACCAAAGGCAGTTGGAGGCGTTCTACCCACCCTGGGCAGAAATGTCCCAACGGAAGCGGAGGATGTGTTACCCGGTGACGTTCTAGTGACTTCGGTCGTTGTGGCGGTGGTTTCGAGTCCTTCGGGGAATGGGTTGATGAGCCCTTATCCGTCCCGATATCACGAGCAGACTGGACTCCCTCGTTGTCCGTAGGGGATGAGCGTTTCCGCCCCTGTGCTTCCCTCTTCCAGACTTCCCCCGGTGCCGGGGGGTTCCCGTCAGTTCCGGTGTGGGAGTGGCGTCCGGGGCTATCCGTGTTCCTTCGTAGCGTTTCTTCCATTGCCTCCAGTGACTTGAACTTGATATACACGCATTTGTTGTCCGATATCTTGTATGTCGTGTCCATTTCCAACACATCAGAGTTCAACTGCTTCACTAATCCTCCGATCTCGAACCAAGACGGCCGGAGGGCACCCGTTGGGAAACGAAACTGCACCGTGTTAACAAACATTCCACTCATCTCGGTAATTGTTTTCAATTTCTGCTTTCAATTTGAGAATAAGCAGCCATAAACAACAAACGCGCTGCAACAAATGCCCAATCATACCATTTTTAATTAATAAGTTTCTGACAAAAAAATCAACAACAGATATTTCACTCCTAATAACCGTAAATTCATATGTTTCGAAATCCGATCGTGAACTAGCGTTTGTTTAAGCGTATTATCCTGAAAAATTTTCTTGCGGACCTGGGTCTCGACATGTGCTCAAGGAATATGTTTTATAACGGAATTAAAGACAAGTGTTTCAAATGCAATATGAAGGGAAACCAAATGAATTTCTGCCTGTAGTGTAAAGTTCAGAAACGCTTAAAAAAAAGCAACTTCTAGGGGTGAGCTAATTGCCATGTCAAGGGCCTCTCCTCGTAACCTGATGTAAATCGAGATAAGAAACGGATCATTAACTTGATGAAAATATTACGGTGATTAAGCAAGTTGTTTTGCCGATTGATATCCAATTGGCTATGGTTGTAGTTTTTTGCACCGATTTTTTTTTTGAAAAACGTCTGGAAAATCAGGGAATATCAGCCGAATGAAGTAATTGAGTCGACACCCTGGGTGAGAAATGTTGTGGGACTTGACCGACTCTAACGACCCATTTCACATTCCAGATTCTTCGTTCCCTTGCAAAATTGTAAGAGAGAACTGCAACTGTTATCGTATAATATAGCCCAAATAAAAAAATTAATTATCTGTATTTAAAGATCGGTCTAGCAGATCATAAGAACCATAGTTTCCTCCTCACGAGAACACGAACTCATTGCATTGGTAATCACATAAATCAAAATTGCTCCCATTCGTTTTGTTTACCCAATTTAGCCTTCAACAATTTAAAACCATGTAGCTCCTTGTCAAAGAAGTTCTCCCTCAGTTCAGCAGCACCAATGTCAAAAGTTAAATTTATTTGCGAATGATTCATGCAGGGTTCACACGAAACGATCTCCGTTGTCTCTGTCTATCCCTAGTCAATACCCATTAACCGAGAATAAGCCTCCGTGATCCACAAAACACGAAACTGCAGATAGACAGACAGACATGCAAAAAAGCCTACATGCCCATACGAACCCCGCTTCCCCCCACCCTCAATCCTATTTCTCGTATCCTTCCATCAGACATCGCAGCCACAACCGGAAGTCGGTCGTGCGGTACGAAAATCGAAAACACTGTACCTTTCACCGCCTACACCAACAACAGCAGCACCTCCCGACCGTGTGGGGGTGTAGATCATGATGATGACGATGATGACGATGTACGAATGGTACGAATGCAAAAAGCTAGCCCCGTCTTCGGACGGACTGTGGCGGTGGAGGCGAAATAAATTGCTGCCAAATGGAATTTGGGCCAATTTGCTCATGTATCGAAAGAAAGTGCTCCTGTGTTGTTTCCTCTCAGCCGCGCGCCTATCTCTGGCATGCTTGTTTGGTGTCTTTTGATTCGAAAATATCGAATCGCGTGCCAGGCGGTTATCAATTCGAAACTTTCCGCCTATCTCCCTTGAACTGTTCCAAATTTGTTCGACCATATCCCACATTCAGCTTCACCGGTTATGACGTCCATTTATAGCCCTATTTGCTTCATGCGAATAATGTAGTGGGGGGCAACATCCGGTATCCTTAACACGATTAGCAGCAAGTTTTAATTGGAAATTCTATCCTTCTTCATTGCAGCGTCCGGGAGACTCATCACATCGCCCAGGCCCAGCAGGAGAAGAATGCCAAACTGCGCGAGGCATTCGGCATCTCGGAGTACTTTGTCGAGGGTACCAGCTTCGATCAGGACCGCAAGGCGAAGGAAGACCACGCCAAGTCGGAAGCCCTGCAGAAGGAACTGGCCGAGAAGGACCGCGCCCGGGAAGCGGACAAGGCCAACCGGAAGCGCTACGCACTGGTGAGGACTCCATCGCCGGAGAAGCAACACTCGTCGTCGTCGACGACGGTGGAATCCAATGGCAAAGGTGGTGGTGGTCATCGGAAGCATCGCGACGCAGGCAAACGCCGAGATGATGATGGCAATGATGACGATGACGATGGAAACGCCAATGGCGACGATGACGATGATGATGATAACGGTGGGCGCAAGGATGACAAGAAGAAACGCAAGAAGAAGAACCGTGATGCGTAAGTGTTGTGTTTAGAGTGTGGAGTGGATGCTGGTAATTCCTAGCTAATGGTATGATAATTGCTTCCCCCCTCCCTCAGATCGTCCAGTCCCGAGCGCAAGAAGGACAAGAAGAAGAAGTCCAAGAAAAACAAGAAAGAAAGGTAATTAGGAGCAAATCTGCTACAACAATTTTTAGTTGATTATATACATCTCTACTAGTCGTATAAAACTGATCACTCTCCTTCTCTCTGTTTCGATGAAAAGAGCAATTCCATGGTACTTACCTGCCACGTTTGTCGGTTGGTAATCGACGTTTCGTCAATTGTTACGATTATGTTTTTCGATAACTACTTTTTTGTTGTATCGTTTCTGACTTTCGGAATGTTTACCGACAGTCAGTGTTGTTATTTATATCGTTTTCCGGATACGGCGAACATTTACACCATATTTGAAAAACTAGAAGAATCAAACTCCAATGTAATAAAACCGACGATTGGCCAAATGGTCAGCAAGATAGTAATCCAAAATACCGGGAAAATCAGAATTCTTACCTTTATTGCAGATTTTACACCTCATTAGACTCCTGCCAAAGAAAGGAAGCTCATCTCTGCTTCGAAAAGTGAAAAAAAATCTATGTACTTTAGAGTGCCACCTAGCGGCGGAGAGTACACTTTTTACACGGAAAATATTGGTAGCATTATATCAGTTCCAATGACAGTTACAAGTACAGCTTGGCTGCTTTAAAGCGGTTTTATAAAAAATTAAATATTTTCCTACCAATACAATTCATTTGTATTGGACCGTATACGTTCCAGTAGAAAACTGAAAATTCGGACACGGGCCAATTGATTTTACTCTCGATCTGTAAGTAAAACATCCCGAGCAAAGTCGGTTAACAAAATTAAAGCAAATCGATATTAAAGTTTGCAGGTCCTATCATAATGAAAACTCATTTTGATTTCAAGTGTCGCGACTTTAGTCTGATATCATATTGTGCTTTCATTATGCAATCAAGACATTTTAAATGAAAGGATGTTTGAAATTTAATTTAAGCTCATCTGTCGTTGAAAGAACGATTAGTGTTTATTTGTTTTGTTTAACACATTTGAGATCATTCGTGACTTGCCCGCAGTGAGATTTGAGCTCAAGTCTTTCAGCATGAGAAACATGAATGCTAACGATTTACACCAGGCCCGTATTTAGTTAAACATTATGAATGCAGAATCGGGAATAAAATTGATTTAATGGAAAGCAAGATTCAACAGTGTAAAAGTTTGCTCTCATGTTTGCTGTGTTAACCGTTAAGTCAACCAAAATGAGAGCAACTGGAGTATTGAAAGTAAGTTACGTCATAACATCAAATTTTGGTTTCAATTTGATCTCCAGCTTTGCTCGGGATAACGTCAGACAAAATTCGCAAATTTGTTATGTTCATATCTCTGTCATGTTACGTCCAACTTTCGTTCTCTTTAGATCATTTGAAAGGTATTGAATGGAACAAAGTTACAATATTTTTCAAAATTTACTCTGAAGAATCGTGACTGATTTTCTCAGAATTGGGTTGGCCAAATTTTGAAATAAAAGTAGTTGTTGTTTATTAATTTATTTGATAAGGCTCAAACGAATTAACTTTACAGAGCCGAGGATTCTTGGACACTACACAATACATCTTAAAACTATAGTCAAAAGGTACAACACAATAAACACTTTATCTTCCGCTATCCAAAAAGCCTCCTCCATATGAACTGGAGCCGCTTCCAGTGGTTTTCTTGTATGGCAATTACGCCATCGGGGCGCAGAGCGCTTCCATTGCAGCAATGGACGCAAAACGTGGTCAGCACTCACACACTCATCACGAAACGGTTGCTTTCCAAAGTCGACGACGCATCGACCGAAAGAACTGCTTATGAACAACAATGAGGAGGACCACACAATGGTTGCTGCCGAGAAAACAGACGATCGCGTGGCACACATCGATAGTGGCCTGCTTTTGTCGATAGCCGAGTGAACACTGAAATAAAAGTAATAGTAGAACACTTATGCTATACCATTCATACCATTCAAATAACCTTTGGAGGTCGAAAATTGAACGTAAAATGAGAGATCATTGAACAAAACATATTTGCATGTATAATGAGAGAGAGAAGGATTAGTAATTTCCATTTAATTCCACTACCTTATTTGCTTATCCTTGACAGATACGCGTATTTCGTCTACAATGTGCAGACTTCTTCAGTGTCTTGTACTAATATCGAGTATTAGTACAAGACACTGAAGAAGTCTGCACATTGTAGACGAAATACGCGTATCGGTCAAGGATAAGCAAATAAGGTAGTGGAATTAAATGGAAATTACTAATCCTTCTCTCTCTCTCATTATACAGGTATTCCACTAAGACGCCCACATTCATCAGGATTCATATTTGCAAGGTTTTTTGGGGGTGTCCTTAAACTTATGATCGGTAGTGTATGTGTATAGTACATCACTGGGTGATTACAAACAAGAAAAAACTTGTTTTTCACTAGTCTAATTTTCCAGCTTTCAAGTGGAACGACAATATTATACTCGAATTAAATCCCGACCTCAAATGTCAGGTTGATTTGGTATCGACGTTGGTGTTAACCAATACAATCATTAGCAAACATTTAGCAGATTTTCCAAACAGGGTCGATATTAAAAGGTAATCCGGGTTAGAGTTTGCCGCCATTAATCTACCAAGTTTGGGTGCATGGTTACCAATTTGGAATCTGTTGGTTAGCTCTGAAGAAAGAAATGTGTTCCAAAAGTCTGATGGTATCTTAATTTACAATTTATGGAAAAATAATGATTGAAACATTTTTTACAATGTGATTAAATTTATTTATTACGTTTGAAAACATATATTATCTATGTTCGACTTTTACGGAGGAGAGGGGTGGTCTGGAAACTGTGACGATCCATACAAAATTTTATAGGTTGACAATTTCTCATTTTCGTGCAGCGTTGCCAGTATTCCAGATTTATCTGGATTTTCCAGATATACAGACAGACCACGCATGTTTCCAGATTTTTTAAAAATGTTCCAGATTTTCCCAGATTTTTAACATATTGCTTTAAAAATGTCACTGTAATTGATTAACCCTCTAATAAAAAACATTAAAATCTAAACTTGCTACTTTAATTATTAAAGGCCATCAATGTTGGACATTATTGGAAGTTTAAGGTAATTCTGAAAATAGTTCACAGTGAAGTGTGAGGCGAATTCCTTGTGAAATCAAAGGAGAACTTCAAGCTAATTCTGAGTAGAGTTCCATCCATCTTTGTGGGCTTGGTGGTCGTGCGGCTCACCCGTCGTTCAGGCGTATTGTGAATGCCACGAAGTGAGGGTTCGATTCCCGCTCTAGCCGGTGAAAATTTCCCTACTGGTCTACTGGGTGTGGTGTGTTGTCCGTTGTCTAGTGTTAAATATTCAGTCTGTGCAACCTCTGGTTGAAGACGGTGTCAATTGTCTTGTCAACACTGACGACAATTGCTTGGAGATTTTGTGAATATCGGGAAAATGGATGTAATGCAGGCCTAAATGCTCCTAATTTGGGCCCATACATAAATTTAGAATCGACTAAATTTTCAATAGCGACTAAAAATATCCATTAGTACTGTCCCAACGACGCGTTCATCTAGATAAAATTTATAAAGAGCAGATTTTTAGCGATGGGCCCAATCTTAGATCCATAGGCCAACATTAGAGCCATTTCCCCTACAATCCGGAAGAGAAATCATGTAATTTTTTTTGATGAAACTTAAGGATTATGCTGATACGAATCGTGAGAATAATTTCAATGGAATTTTATCCAATGTTTCTATGGAGATTCATTTTAATAAAATTTTAAGACATTTTAACGGAATTATACGCAATTTCTGGGAGACTTTCAAGGCCATTTTGTTAAAGTTATATAAAGGAGAATCCAGAAAATAAGTATAATGAAATTCTAGGATCATTCCAATGAAACTTGAAAAAAGGGCGAAGATATCCTGTGAAGAGTTCCAAGAAAATTCAAACTAACAAAAAATTTCATGATCTGGGACCCAGGAAAACTAGAAATTCCGAAATTTATAATCACTTCAAGATCCTGGGACTTCAAAAATTGACGCTATCACACTTTCATTTTTGTAATATTATAAAATTATTCATTTTTTTAATATTATAAAATTATTCGTAATGGTCGTGCGAATAGTGGAGTTACCCGTAGCTAACAAGTTATTTTCTTTATATAATTTATTTGAACATGTAATTCATAATCATTCTAGTACTTTAAATACATTCCGGATGATCATATTGACCGATTGTTACGGGAGATTGGCACATCACTTTGATTTCAATAGCATTATGTTAAAATCAGGATTTTTTTTGAGTATTCCAGATTTTTCCAGATTTTATATTTTAACTGTTCCAGATTTTTCTGACAATGACCTGGCAACGCTGTTTCCGTGTGAAATTTTTAATGGATCTTACCTAGGTGAAGTCATCTTTCATTAGAGTACCTCTTGTACTCAGATTTACTCATAGTTACTCTGGCTTACTCTGGTTTGCTGCGAGAACACAAATAACTGGGCATATAGTTTTGGTTCCTGATCGTCTGACAGTCCATCGACGAAAAGAAAGCACAAACGATCCTTTTTCTCTTGTAAATAACAAAAATATTTTTCAAGATGCAATGTTTGAGTGGTAGCCAGAAGATATTTCTAATTAATAATAATAAATTGAAAATTTAGCTGAGCACAAACGTCTTGTAAAATGCTCTGTAACATTAAATCAAGGATGACTTTTCATAGTGATGAATGTGTTTATATAAAAAAAAAAATCAAACGTCGCTTCGACGAAACTCTCAGTACTCCCACGTAAACTAACACCACCTCTCTGGTGGTGCTGTTGGTTTGCGTGGGAGTGGTGAGAGTTTCGGCGAATTTATGATTAAGTTTTAGTTTAAAAAAGCCCTTTCACAATCCATCATCACAAAAAAACTTTTCCTTTTGCAACTAAATGGACCAAAAGAATTTCAAAAAGGACTCCACGTTTAGGTGTTCGCATGAACATGGTGAAACATGATATATCGGAGTTTTCAGGGATTCTAAAGTTTCAATTTAATGACCCAAGGAATCCAGAAAGTCCCAGGAACCATGT